CATTCACACGGGGTGAGCTGCATCGCGCGTGCGTGCGTGCGTGTGTGTGTGTGTGTGTGTGTGTGTGTGTGCGTGTGTGTGTGTGTGTGTGTGTGTGTGTGTGTGTGTGTGTGTGTGTGTGTGTGTGTGTGTGTGTGTGTGTGTGTGTGTGTGTGTGTGTGTGTGTGTGTGGAAGCAGGGTTGCAGGTGCATCGCAAGCACGCGTGTGCATGCAGGCACACCTGTCGTGGTAGTGGTTGAGGTAGAAGTTGAAAATGTCAATCTCTGGCGGAAAGCATTCTGGAAGGCGTTGCTGTTGGTGACGCACAATACAATATCCATGAGCGATGACTGTCCCAAGTGGTGGGACGTGCCATACATGGCTGAAAACAGAAGCAGATATAGCAACACATCATATCCGCACATGTTCACAACAAGTGTACAACCTGGGCAACAATGAGATCGGTGAAGTAGAAGGAGCGAAAGGCCTCGAGAAAACGATACACCGAGCCCTGCGCAAACAACTTGGAATCAAAGCTGTACTCGCATATGTGGCGTGTGCATGTGCGAGCGTTGCGTTGTGCGTTGTGTTTGTACGTTGGCGTGTTGTACGTGTTTGTGTGTGTGTGTGTGTGTGTGTGTTTGTGAGTGTTGTGTGTTGTGTGCTAGTGCTTGGAATTCATTCAGCACAAGGCTGTTTGGGTGGCAAATAAAGATGATGGCCAAACACCGAATAGAATAGCGCATATGGCCGTCAACACCTCCGTCCCCAGCAACACTGTCACAACCCACCTTGACTCGATCTGCAACCCAAGTTTCTCCATGTATTTCTCTTTGAGGTTTTTCGGGCGATTCGGGGTGTTGGGCGCTGCCTCTCTGTCAAGTCTGTGTGTGTGTGTGTGCGTGTGTGTGTGTGTGTGTGTGTGTGATTGTGCACGTGAGAGAGAGAGAGAGTGTGTGTGTGTGTGTGTGTGTGTGATGTGTGTGATTGTGCACGTGAGAGAGAGAGTGTGTGTGTGTGTGATGTGTGTGTATGTGTGCTGTGATGAACATGAAACTGCGTGTGCGCGTGTGATTGTACGAAGCTGCTTTGAATGTACTGAGGTATGTCGTGTGTCGTGTGACGAAGAAATGCCACCCGTCCACAAGAGCACACACACACACACACACACGTTGCAATCCTCTCCCCTCCACCCCAACGGCTACCGCACTTTTCTTCGCGCATGATGATGCGCAAGGCCGAGACGAGCAGCGCCGGGTCTGTCTTCACCAACGCCAGTGGATCGTGCGCCACGAAGAACACATGCTGCTGCAGCTTCGCCTGCACATGTGTGTGTGCATATGTTTGCATGTGTTTGCATGTGTTTGAGTGAGTGGGTGAACGTGTGGGTGAGTGGGTGCGACACAAGGCGCATGCGCTCAAGGTTTCCTGTGTTGCGGGGTTCCGCTCATGCACGAATACACACGAAGAGTCACAAACATTTGCACACACGCACACGCACACACACACATACACACATACACGAACACACACATACACGAACACACACATACATACGCACATACACGAACACACACATACACGAACACAGACACGTGCGCACCGAGACGACGCGGACGCCCTGAAAGTATTCGTCAATTGCACGCGCGTCTGACGGGCGCACGCTGGTGTTCTTGATCTTGGACTGGACATGCTCCATACAGCGTTCCAGATGCATCAACCTGCAGCACACGAGGGACACAGAGTGCAGGAAAGACAGCAAGAGAGAGAGAGAGTGTGTGTGTGTGTGTATGGGAAAGGGAGCCAGAGAAATCTGGCAGCTTTGTGTGACAATGCATGTCCTTACACAGAGAAAAAAAGTGTGTGTGTGTGTGTGCCTGGCAGACAGACAGACAAGACACACACATCCCACACACACACACACACATGCACAAATCCCCCAACTCACACGCACACACAGATGCGCGCACACACAGATACACACATGCACTCACATGCACACAGATGCACAAACGGACTTTTGGTGTGCTAGCAGGAGGTTTGGTGGGTCTTCCTTGAGCATGTTCTCCAGCTCCTGTACGTCGTCGGGGACATTGAAGATCTGATCAAGCTGCTCCATGGTGGACCGCATCTGGCCAGGAGAACGACGACGACGAGGAGGAGAAGGGGAGGAAGGAGAAGGGAAAGAAGGAGAAGGGAAAGAACCGAGAGGGAAGAGGGGGTACGTGACGTGACACATGTGTGAGCGGGCAGCACACTGGGCTGTCTAGCGGGCATTGCGAGTTTTCGTGTGCGTGCGTGGAGTTACAGTTGCGTGTGTGCATGTGATGTGTACTGTCTCGATGCTTATGTATGTATGTGTGCATGTGTCTGTGTGCATGTGTATGTGTGTGCATATACATATGCGGGTCTACCCGATTGCGCGAATCGCTCAAGACGCGGGCCTGGGCGGCGTGGTGAATGAGCTCCTCACATGTGCCCAACAAGTGCTCGCTCTCATCAACGCTGAAAGCGGTGGCACACAGCACATTCCCAGCCAGCGAGAATAGGTGAGAGCAACAAGAGCATGCGTGTGTGACACTCGCAACAACTCTTCCAGGCAGGCCTGAGGGTGGCAAGCATGGTTGCATCAGCAAAGCGACTGAAGTGTACCTCGTTTGAACAGAGTCCAAGTCACGGAGACACCTGGAATAGCAGAGGAAGTGGGAATCAGTGTTGTGAGCGGCGCCAACCGTTCAGGTTGTAAACAGTTCACAAAGCACGGTATACGGGGCGTAGTACACGGAACACACGGCATGGGGAACAGACAGATAGCCGGACAGAAAGCCAAACACAGGCACACAGACACACAGACAGAAAGCCAAACACGCAGACAGAAACACACAGACACAGACACACAAAAGATCCCCCCCCCACACACACACACACACACAAACGCGTACCGCTGGAGCAGGTCCATGCCCTCGTAGACGTCGCTGATCTGGGATTGAACTGCCGTCTTCAGCCTGCTCTCGATGGCAGCCCGCTTCCGTAACGCCCGTAGCCGCAGCTGCTCAACGTGCGTCAGATCATCGGCGCTCTGCTCACGATCAGTGGTGGAGGTGGTGTCAGTGCGTTGCAGGTGCGACGTCGCTCGCGTGCGCGTGTATGTATGTGTGGTGGTGTCTACCTCGCACAGCCAGCAATCGATCGAGAGCACGCGCAGCACTGTCAACTCACCTGAACCGCCTGTGCGACGTGTCTGTGGGCGCGTTCCAACACACCAGCCACCTCATCCTCTGCCATCTTGCTTGCTGCACCTGCCGTTGTTGTTGCTGTCCTTCCAACAACGATTTTGTGCTGTTGTGTGTGTGTGTGTGTGTGTGTGTGTGTGTGTGTGTGTGGGTTATTTGGGGAAAACTCGCTGAAATCGTGTGTGTGTGTGTGTGTGTCTGTGTGTGTGTGTGTGTGTGTCTGTCTGTCTGTGTGTGTGTGTATGCTGTGTTGTGTTGTGTTCATGCACACCCACAACACCAACCTTATTCCCTTTCACGACAAGGAGGGGCTTTATGTAACAAAGAACGACAGCAGTGAAAACAAAAGCGGAGGAAGAAGCAGGCACATGGACGATCGTCGTCACGTTGACACACGAGGTCAAGCAGCACAACCACACCCAAGTGCACACGACACATTGCACATAGCACACAGCACACAGCACACGCACAAACTCACGCACACGCACGCACGCACGCACGCAAGCAAGCAAAACTCCAAAGCACCAGCAGCAAAAAGCGCTGAAGAACACAAAAAGATGAAGCAATGATGTGACAACCGGCCGGGTGTGTGCGTTGGTTGCATGTGGCGGAACACGCCAGCCAGCAAGCCAGCAAGCAAGCAAAAGAAGCAAGCAAAGGCTCCAACGGCAGACGACGCTAACAAACAAGCAACGGCGGCAGCAGCAGCAAACAGCAGCGAGATAAAAGAATGACGACAAGGGAAAGGAGGAACAGGAGGTCTGCAATTGAAAGTGTGACACGCGTGGCGTGTGTGACATGCGGGACATGTGCATGTGTTCGTGAGAGCGGGTGGGTGTGCAATGGGGAGACAGAGAGGGAGGGGATCAGCGGGGACGGGTGTCGAGCTTGTCTTGTTGCTCCTGCTTGAGGCGTCGCATCTCCACAGGGTTGGACATGATCTGATCACGACAGTAGGGATGGATAGTGAAGGGCTGGTGAGAGAGAATATGGAATTTGGAAATGTCAACAAGGGAGAACGTGGCAAGCAAGGAATGAAGACATACAACAGTCGAGGAAACGCACTCACGTGTCGTTCCAATGACCATGCACAACAACAACAACAACAACAACAACAACAACAACAACAACAACAACAACAGCAACAACAACAACAACAACAACAACAACAACAACAACAACTTAAACAACAACAACTTAAACAACAACAACTTAAACAACAACTGAAACAACAACAACTTAAACAACAACAACAACAACAACAACAACTTAATCAACAACTTAAACAACAACAACAACAACTGAAACAACAACACGGCACAGCAGCACTGCACCTGCGTGTTGATGGAGGTGATTTCGTGGTTAAGCTGCTGCAGCTGCTTTGCGACCACCTGGTCCTGCTTGCCCTGCTGCTGCTGGAGCAGCGTCTCCTTGATGAGCTCGTCGCGTCGCGCCCCGGCCCGGCGCAGGTTCTCCCGAAGTTCCTGCAGCGACTGGTACTCCTCAGAGCGCTCGTACTCCACGCGGATGTGCACCAGGATGGACGACAGCTCCAGCGGCTCGTTGAACGCGTTCTTCAGCTGGATCGACCGGTAGCCTGCAGCCAACAGGAGGGTTGCATTGTTGTGGTTGTTGTGATGATGAGGGGGTGGTGGTGGTAGTGGTGGTGGTGATGCAGCTGCTGAGGACATGGCGCGAACATGCGCTCAAGCAATAGCACACAAGTCATACCACGCACATGCACGTTCAACTCACCACGTAATCCACAGCATGCAAGTCATACAACGTGAAGCACACAAACAACATGATTCACACACCTGTGCGGATGCTGGACTCGTGCTGTGTGCCGAGCGGGTACACGTTCTGGCCAATGGTGTTGGCGTCACCGAACATGTCCTCATCCTGCACCACAATGCGCAGGCACGCGAGCTCAGGCATGTCCACGTTGAAGGACACCTCCTCGTTCCAGCACGTGCGGCCATCAACAGCCTCCACCCACGCCGGGCAGAACCCGTTGTCGGTGCACGTCTTGGTCTTGTACTTGTCGTGTTCAATACCAACGAGGTCAACCTCCACAAACGGTGACGCAATTCCGCGCGCGGGCTTCAGCAGGTGCCGCCCAGAGATCACCTATACAGCAAACACACAAACACACACAAAAGTGTGGAGGCGTGAGAAGGACAAGCTGGGTATTAACGACAGTGACATGCAGCAGTACGCAGCCATGTTGAACATATCGCCCACACAACACACAACCACAAACGCAAACACACACACACACACACGCGCGACACACACACGCGCGACACACACACACACACACACACACACACACACACACACACACACACACACACACACACACACACACACAACGGTGGTGCTGGAACGTACGCGAACGTGGATGGTGACAGGATCGACGCCGTATGTCTTGTGGTCGTACGGGTTGAACGTCGGCTTGAGCATCGACTGCGGTTTGAGGACATACCCGCAGCGGCCGTTCTGCTGGAACTTGCCGTGGTTGAGCCACATGGCGCGGTCGGGTGTCTGGTAGTTGAGCGCAACCAGCTGCATGCCAGCGTTCCACATCACACGCGGGTCAAAGTTGCTCGAGTCCACGCGCTTTCCATTGGGATACACGCGCGACAGCTGCCGGATGTTGTACCTGTTGAACGCCTGTGTGTGTGTGTGCATGTGCGTGTGCGTGTAAACATAACAAAGTCGTCATAACAAGTTGAGATTGACGCGTCGGTGGCAGCGTAAGCAGGCGCAAGGAACGCACCACGCACGCACCCACACACACCCACACACACACACACACAAAGAGAGACAAGCAACTTGTAACAGCAGCTGCTGCAGCAGGAAGCAAGCGAACACATGTGCACGAGGTTTTTTTTTTCCTTTTCTATTCTTTTCTTGCACCGCACCTCTGCCTGGCCGTTGACCTCGCGAACAAGAGCCATGGCCTTCTTCTCGGAGAAGGAGGACATCTTGAAGTACTCGAGGGAGCAGTTCTCCTCAAAGCTGCGGAAGGGCACCGACTGCGAGTAGAAGACGAGGGCAGAGAGGTCGCGGTGGATCTTGAGCTTCTTCTCGTCAATGCGCCGCTGGATGTTTCTGCAGAGGGAAATGTGCAGCAGCAGCAGCAGCAGCAGCATGGCAAGGCGAAGAAATGAGCAAGGAGAGGGGAGGAAGAGAGAGGGGCCATATGTACGCACGCGTACACACTCATAACCACAAAGAAGGCAACACGTCATGCGCACAAAAACACACAAGACAGCACGTCACAGCACAAACACACAAGACAACACATCACAGCACAAACACACACGGCACAAACACACACACACAAACACACACACGCACACGCACACGCACACGCACACACACACACACGTGTTCACACACACACACACAGAACAAAAGACGCATGTGCACCTGGCCTCGAGCTCCTTGACGGTCCTGTTGATGGAGTCGATCCAGTCCATCATGTCCTCCTTGGTGGTGGCGCCAACGTCCAGCGACTGCGTCGGGTTGAGCTTGTTGCGGATGGCAAAGATAAACGCCTGGTCACCGCGCGCAGGCAAGGGCACCACCTCCAGGTTCTTCAGCTCAATGTCGGCCTTCTCCAGCGCACCGAGCGGGTTGTCTGCGTCATCCTTGTCCTCGTTCATTAGCGCGTTGTGATCAATCTGATGGCACACGCGACACGTGTGAGAACCATACGAAAGAGAACCACTGCTGCACCGAACCAGGGCGTACGCTGGCATAACTCTTGCAATACGCTTGCTGTGGTTGAGCACAAGCAAGTGGGTGCTACTCAACAAACCCACACACGCGCAACAAACACACATACAGACGCACAAACAAAAAACAAAAACTTACACACATACAGACACAAACATAACACACACACACACACGCACACCTCTTCGACGTAGTTTGAAGGGAACCACCCGCCCGGGAGGCCGCCGTAGTCGCCCTGCCACCAGCCGTCGTCCCGCTTGATGACGTTGGTGATGATGGCGTCCTTGGGGAAGGTCAGCTCGTCCGGGTTGCGCGCGCCATACGAGTACAGGGCGCGGCAGGTGACGTTTGAGGTGACAATGCTGCGGCCCTCGAATGCGTTTGGCTCCTGGTACAGCGCGTCCGAGTTGTAAATGTCCTCCTCGGGCGCCTGGCCGTGCTTGTCAATCAGCTCCTGGTCAACCGCATACCTGCACAGGACAGCAGCCACGCACGGCAACGGCGAAGCACGGGGTGGGGTTGATTGGGTGTTTGGTGTGGGAAGAGAGGGGGGGGGGGTTGACCGATCAGTTGGAAGAGGGTGGAAATAAGCGAAATGCAGCCATGCAACAAAGACGCTTGAGGCACAATTCACACAAAATAAAGTCTGCACAGGTTCACAGCCGCACACATACGCACACACGCACACACATTCGCACACGCACACATTCACATTCACATTCACGTCCACACGCACACATTCACATTCACATTCACATTCACACAGAGAGTACGGAATGACACACTTAAGCTTCATCTTGCGGTAGAGGGGCTTGCTCTTGTAGTAGTCGACGAGGGCAACGAGGCTGTCAAACTCGGCGTCACCAATGCAGTACATGCGGCCGTCCAGGCGGATGCGGCAGTGCTTGATCTTGCCCTCGGCGCGGAAGGAGATGGCAAAGCTGTTGGGGTCCGACTGCTTGCCGCGCACGAGGAACGCGCCGTCGTGGTGGATGCGCTTGAGCATGTCCTCGGCCTGCTCGCGGGGCAGGTCCGCGTGGAACCACCGCTCAGACTCGTGCGGGGCGGGCTGCGGCGCGGCGTGGCGAAGTGTCAGCGTAAACGTGGGGCCTTGCAGCGAGACCTGGCGGTAGTAGTCAATCAGCTCGTACAACGTGGCAAAGGAGCACGTGTCTGTGAGGTAAAAGTGGCCGTCGCGCTTGCGGATGCGGCAGTGCTGCACGCGTCCGTTGTGCACAAACGACAGGCTGTACTCCTCCTTGAAGGAGTCGCTCGGGCGCACGAGGAACGTGCCCGGGTCGTCGAGGTGCTTCTTCAACACGTCCTCCGCAGCCACGCGCCCGCCAACCAGCTTCCCGTGGAACCACGGCTCGCGGAAATGGGGCTCGTCAGCCTCTGTGCCGCCCTCTGTTGCCGAGTCTGTGTCGTCGTCATCGTCGTCCACCTCTTCCTCCTCCTCGTCAAGGGCCTCAGCATAGAACAGCTTCGTCTCCGTGAGCACAAAGTAGTGCTTCTTCCACGCCTCGTCAAGCTTGTCCTCGAGCAGCAGGTGCCCATTCTTCACAGAGAACGACAAATCCGCTTCCCGCTGTCATCGCAAAGAGGCAGTGCGCGTGTGTGTGCATGTGTGTGTGTGTGTGTGCGTGTGTGTGTGCGTGTGTGTGTGCGTGTGTTGAGGGTGAGCTGGGAAGAGAAAAGTACACGGGCTTGGGTGGGAATATTGGACAGGAAGAGCAAGTGGAGGTCGCCACATCAACCCCTTCCCGGCCACGCGCTGTGTCAAAGCAAGCGTGCATACGATTCCCCTCGCATCTCGTTGGCTGCCACACCAACAGCGAAGACAGCCACCAAGCTAGCTGATCACACACACAAACACACGCATGCACGCACGCACACACACACACGCGCACACACAAAGATGCTTGCAGGCAAGCACGCACCATGCGGCTGACGACGACGGAATCGCTCTGGCCCTCGAGCTTCTTGTGCTTGATGATGACCTTGTATTTCAGCTGCTCTGGGCTCGGGTAGCAGTCGCGGTGCTTTTCCTGGCAGTCGTCGGGCGGGCGGGTGATGAGGTAGTCCCCAAACGCCTCCTGGAACATGCGCGCCATCACCTCCTGCTGCGACAGGCTGCAGTGGTTCTCAATCGACAGGATCAGCGGGTACTCGGACGTGTCAAACGCGTGCTCGCTCACAACCTTCACCACGTCCTGGAACTTGATCTTGGAGGTGAGCGTGTGGCCGTGGTACACAATGGGCTCGTTGTAGGGGCCGTCCCAGCAATCAATCTCTACGCAGCGGCAGCCGTCGCGCAGGCAGCGCACATACGCCTCCACGGACGACTCCGAGCGAAGCTGGTCGCCCATGAGGTACGTGTTGTGCGACGAGGCGATAAAGTAGCACGCCAGCGGCAGGTGCATGTCCTGATACACCATGTCGTGGTCAGGGTTCCAGATGTGGTTGTCGTTCGAGTGCAGAAACTCAACAAACTGTCCCCAACATGAAAATGAGGAAAGGAAGTGTGTGAGTGATGTGTGTGAGGGAGGGAGGGAGGGGTGAGTGTGTGATATGTGTGTGTGTGAGTGAGTGAGGGGGAGGGGAAGGGAGAGTGTGAGTGTGGGGGGGGGGTGAAAGAAGGGGAAGGGAGAGACAGAGACAGAGACAGAGACAGAGACAGAAAGCGAGAGGGAGGGAAAGAGAAGAGAAAGTGACAGAGACAGAAAGCGACAGAGATGCAGTGACAGTGACAAAGAGGGGTGAGGTGAGCAGTGCCGAGGCAACCACACCGGGCCAACGCACCATGTTGACGGGGAGGGTGTTGTCTTTGCCGTATTTCTTGATAATCTCCTTGCACTCTGCGATGCTGACCTGCTGGTTCTGCTCCTGGCGGAAAAACTGCTGCAAGTCCTTCTCCGTCAGCGACGTCCTGCAGTGCGCGAGGGAAGAACATAGTTTTCACAGAGGGGCAATGGCGTGTGGAGCATGCGAGCAGAAGCGAGTGGGTGTAAGTGGTGATGCATGTGTGTGTGTGTGGGTGTGCGTTATGCATACATGTGTGTTTATGCGCGCGTGTGTGTGAGGGGTTATGCATGCATGTGTGTGTGTGTTGGTGCGAGAAAGTGGGTGCGCGGGTGGGCATGTGTAGACAAGAAACCAAGCGCACTCGAGTGTGAGCGCATGTGGTTGCATGAACAGAGCGGCGCCAAGAACCCCTGACCAAGCTTGACAACGCATCCGTACTTTGATGCCTGCGAAGAGAAGCTGCGGAAGACGTCTGTGACGTGCTGGTTCTCCACGAGGTGGTGGTACAGCTGTGTAAACTGCTCGCGGTTGATGATGCCTTGCTTGAACTCGTCAACCTGGCACACACGCAAGACACGCGCACATTGGCATGGGATGGTGAGTGGAGGCGCGCACTGGGCCTGAGAGTAATGGCAGGAGTACAACGCAAAGGCCCGCACGCAAGTGTACAAGGCGGGGATGTGAACGCACGTGCGCACACATGCATGCACACACGACGCACCAGGTACATGTAGTCGCGAAGCTCCCTTGCAGAGAGCTTGTAGTTGATTTTGGTGGCAAACGTCTTGAGTTCGCGCAGGCCAATCTGGTCGCTGCCGCCGCTCAGCTCGTCCCACTGCGTCTGCAGCCACCGGTCCCGCATCATGTGTGTCCTGGGCGAGTCATGGATGTGTGTGTGTGTGTGTGTGTATAAGCACGCAAGAGACGGAGAGAGAGAGTGTGTGTGTGAGTGTGTGTGTGTGTGTCAGTGAGTCAGTAAGCGAGCGTGTGAGTGTGAGTGTGAGTGTGAGTGTGAGTGTGTGTGTGAGTGGGTGTGACTTGGGCAAGCAAGGTGCCTGATAATGTTTCAAACGACCCATGATCGAGCACCGACAACAAACGTGCACATTTGTGCGTGCAAGACTGACATGTAAAGATCTGGTCGAAGGAATCGAGAGTGCTCCCACACGGCGACCGCCCACGCTTCTGCCTCCGCAGCGTTTTGCGCTGTCGTGTGCGTGGTTGTGTGCGAATGCGGTGAGGATGTGAGTGTGTGTGTGAATGTGTGTTTGTTTGTTTATGTGTGCATGTAGGTGTGTGCATGTGTGTTTTGTTTGTTTGTTTGTGAGAGTGTGTGCATGTGTGTTTGATTCTGTGCAAACCCCCGCCCCCAACATAAAGTGTGTGTGTGCTAATGTCAACGCACCAACAAGGCAGAGCTGCTTGAGGCGAAACTGGTCGCCATGCAAGATGACAAGGGCGCAGTCCTTGGACTCTGAGGAGGCAAGCTTGAAGTCCTGCACAGCCACGATGGCAACATCAACGACGACAGCGACAACGACAACGACAGCGACAACGACGAAGTGAGGGTCAGTTGCTGTGCTTCAACAAGATGCGCATGTCATGTGGGACGAACACAACACTGCACTGCATTGCACTACGAGCATGGACGCGACGGCACTTACAAGGAACATAAGTACAGGCACAGACACAATGCACGGACACGATGCACAAGCACAATGCGCACACACAACTCGCAGGGCACAGACCTTGCATGCCAATGCTTGTTCGCCTGTGCGCACTTCGCACACGGTGTGGAGTGGGACGTAGTGTGCGCGCCGCCCCGGGCCCGTTCTGAAGACAATGTTGAAGGTGCCAAAGTCCATCTTGATGCTGCACTTTGTCATCTTCTTGTTGGTGAGGTAGCGGTCCATTGTGCAGTCGCGGGTAACCATCTGCACAAAGTCGTTGAGTTTTGGGTGTGGCTTGTACTCACGGAGCATGAGCGGGAGCTGTGGCGGGGATCGCTCTGGCGCAGATCGGATCATGCTGTCCAGCTTGCTGGGCGAAACCGCAGGGGCGTCGGCCTCATTGCTGGAGGTCGTGCTCGACTGCGACTTGCCTGTGTGTGTGTGTGTGTGTGTGTGTGTGATCGCGTTTGGGGATCAAAGGCACAAGCACACCCACATCCAACACATTGTGAGTGCACGCTCTAAGCTGAGATGAAAGCAACGCAGCGTGTGTGTGTGTGTAATTGTGTGTTTGTGTGTGCAATTGTGTGTGTGTATGTGTGTGTGCAGCATCCATCCATGCCATCCATGCCATCCATCCACGCCATCTATCCACGTCATCCATCCACGCCATCGATCTCGATCCAGATCCGCCCCCACCATCACCTCCCCCTCCCCCGCCTCTTCGCCCCCAGCAACTTTGCCTCCCAACGTTGCCCTATCACCCTCCTCACCCATCGCCACCTTTCTCTCGACTTGCAAACAAACACAAACAAGCAGGGCTGCTGCTGGAGGTACTGCTGGTGTCATCAGAAAGCCCCCGCGCTCCACTCCACACATCGCGCCATGCTACTCTCTTGTGCGTGGCCATCATCCAATCCGTCCCCCCCCCCCGGCTGCTTGTTTCCAGATCTTCCCCTCTGAGCATCCAGCCAGACTCGAGTGTCCTTCATCATTCAGTTTTGCTTTCCCCCCATCTCGCCTTCTTCATATCCGTCCTTCCTTCCCCCCCTCCTTCTTGTCTCTTCGTTGCCCTGGTCCGCCAGTGCTCCTTCGCTCACCTTTCCTGCCAAACAGCCTCTTCATTCCGGTACTTCCTGTGGTACTGGGTACTTTGACGAAAATACACGCAAACCACCAACTAAAATTCGCGGTTGGCAGTCCTGCCTTCCGCAGTGGGAGGGGCCGTGGGAAATCAAGGCGTGCACCCGCATCAAATCACCCACACAAAAAAACAAAACAGGGTTTGTGGCGCGCGGGAAGCTTTCAAATCAAAAGAACTGAAGAGGTCCTTCAAGTTCGTTCAAGGCAGAGTTCCGTTCACCTCAGCACTTTTCACCTCAGCACTTCAGCACCTTACACACACTCACTATATCCTCGTTGTTCCATCTTTCGAAGTCGCCTTGCCCTTCTTTGCTCTTCTGACTTGAGAGCCCTAGAGAGCCATGGCTGCACTGGCACCCGCGACGACCGAGGAGGTTGCGCAGACACTGACGGTGCACGGAAAGCTGGCCTTGGACTGGGAGCGACGGAAGCAGGAGGCGGCCATGGCCAGTATTGGCGCCAAAACCATGCCCTCGTTGGCACATCTCCAAAGCGCGGCGCAGATGGTCGCCAGGTGTGCCGAGGTGCAGCGGCTTGACCACGAGGCCTTCTTCCTTGGCCTTGAACTCTTCGACGGCTTCATCACCATGTAAGTATGTTGCGCGCGCTTTGGTACGCTCCGATCTCCCCTGTGCCTGCAGGCAGCTTGCAACAGCGTGCTACCGTCTACTCTGCCCCTCGTATGTTGCTGTTGGTCAACGGCTCAGTTCTGCCTGCCTAACGGCCTCCCTTTCTTGCCTGCTCCCTTTCTTGCCTGCGCACGTACGGATATGTATGGCCTCAGGAAAGCAGCAGCCACAGCAGACTCCAGCACTCAGACGCGGCCGCCAAGCCTGAAGTTTTGCACCTTGGCGTGCCTGACATGTGTGCAGCTCGCCTCAAAGATGATTCTGCTCCGCAAGCGCATGGGGCCTGCACGCACGTCCAGATACGCTCAGAGGTGCGTTGTTCGCAGAAGTCAGTGTGTGTAAACTCAGGGGGTGGGGTGGGAGAGGTATGTTGCTGACTTGACTGTTGTCGACGGCGTTGCTGTCTGAGGTGGCAGGTGACATCAGAAACGCGAGCGTGTGGCTGGCAACAGGCTTGTAATGTAATGCTATGTGTTTTTGCACGCGCGTGGGTGTGCGTGGGTATGCGCGTGTGTGTGCGTGCGCTCTCCCTCTCTCTGTCCTCTGTCTCTTCCCTCTCCCTCAACCATCCCTCTCTCTCTCTCTCTCTCCCTCTCTCTCTCCCCTCTCTCTGTCTCTCTGTCTCTCTCTCTCTCTCTCTCTCTCTCTCTCTCTCTCTCTCTCTCTCTCTCTCTCTCTCTCTCTCTCTCTCTCTCTCTCTCTCTCTGTCCTCTGTCTCTTCCCTCACGCTCAACCATCCCTCTCCCAATCTCTATCTCCAGGCTGTTGGGGTTGCCAATCTCATACAAGGACATCACGGACATAGAGTTTGAAATCTTGAAGACCATCGACTTTCGCATGGTGAGGCGCTGTCTTGCGCGAGAGAGTTCAAGGGTGGCAGCGTGACACGAGAAGGGGAAGGGTAGAAGCACAGCAGCCATACCTTCTTCCATTTGCTTCTCGCAGCTTACACCGGTGCAATCGCACAACTCCCAGGTTCCCTCCCCACTCCTCATTCTCCGCAACTTCTTGGAGGCAACTGTGTTCAACCTCAAGGACACCGAGCTTGCCAGGTGGCATTCCACAACCACACTTTGTTGTTTACACCATCAAATGCTCAAATGCAATGGAAGAGCACACTGGAATCTTCGCCGCCGCCGCTGGGTGAAGGGCAATGTCATGGTGGTGACGCTATGTCAGCCAGCACATCGTCATGACATTTCGATGGGACGCAAAATGGCCACAACCACATTCCCACTGCACCAGTCTCTTACTCTGCGTACCCTGCTCTTTGTCAACGTGCATAGCGTGTCAGCAATTGCACAGGAAAGCATCGAAGACATTGCCAGGAAAGTGCTGGTGCTCACGTATCATGAAAACGAGGCGCTGCTTCGTGCCCTCAGCAATGCGGATATTCAGCTCAGCATCATCCTTCGCACCACCGGTGTCATCGCTCTGGCCTTTTACCTCTTTGGTCAGTTGACACGCGACAGTGTGAGTGGTGCATGTACGCGTATGTATGTATGTGTGTGGGCGTCTGCTTCCATGAACAATAGCAGAACAGCATCATCGGCGTTCCCTTTCGGTGTCTTCTTCACACAACCTTCTCACGGTTCAGACGGTTCCTTCTCTTCTTATTTCACATACACCCACACCCACACCCACGCATCCCCCCCCCAAACATTCACACACAGATACGGTGCTCAGCGACACCATCAACAGGACACTGGCAAGGTTGGTGAAGGCGAGGGTTCAATGCATATATACACGTAACAGGTGAAGCAAGGCGAGGAAGGGCGGGGGTGGATAGCAAGACCAGGCATCAAGCAAGCCGCTCGAAAACAGACAGCCACCCGGCAACAAGGAAGGACGCGCAAGCAAGGGCGAGCAGAAAGGCAAACGACAACAGCAACAGCACGCACGAGGGTTGAAGGTCAACCTCATGAAGGTGCAACACACGTACGCACACATGACGCACGCACACATGATGCACGCATATGAGCTCACACCCACATGATGGCCATGGTGCAGGATGACGCACTACACAGAAGAGACATATGTCGAGTTTGCTGCGGCGGTGCTTCAAGCCACAGACCTGACTAGCACTATCTCTTGAACAGGTGGGGTGTGTGCATGTGTGTGTGTATGTGTGTGTGTATGTGTGTGTGTATGTGTGTGTGTGTGTGTTTGTGCGCGTGTGCCATCAATCCGTGTGGCGTCCGCACACCCACTTCAGAGCGCCACCGCGTGACACCTGCTGCCGTTTTCCTTGCGCCACACTTGCCCAGGCGCATTGGCACGCATACGCCCGCCCGCCTGTGTGTGTGTGTGTGTGTGTGTGTGTGTGTGTGTGTGTGTGTGTGTGTGTGTGTGTGAGTGGATGTCCTTGTGCTCGATTCCACCTGTCACATGGTACGTGTCATGGGCATTTGCATATGTGTTCCTGGGTTCAAGTTGGCAAGCAAAAACCGGTGTAAATAGAGACAGCGAACACACCTGGTTGACTTTGCAGCAGCACTTTCAACTTGTCATAATCGGGCGTGTTGTTGCGGAAGAACAAGTAGTCCCTGTTGGTGGTGGTGGTGGTGTTGTTGTTGTTGTTGTTGTTGTTGTTGTTGTTGTTGTTGTTGTTGTTGTTGTTGTTGTTGTTGTTGTTGTTGTTGTTGTTGTTGTTGTTGTTGTTGTTGTTGTGGTTGTTGTTGTTGTTGTGGATTTGGTGGCGAGTAAGTGGTGGCACAAACAGCCGCTCCATGCAAACTAGAAGCAGTGTCAATGCCACAACCACAGACACACCGACAGAACACAACAAGCGCGCGCACACACTCACACACACAGAACACAGCACGCGCGCACACACAGCACACAGCACACAACTTACACTTTGTCATCCCAGCGAACGCTGTCAAAACAGCACACGGAGTGGTCACACGAAGTGCACCGCAATGTGGAGCAGGTACACCTGTTGATTGTCATGTTTCATGAGCATCAAACACACAACTCTGGCCTGAACGGCAAGCACGCAGACAAAACAAGCAGGCAGTAGACACAGACCTTCGACACACACACACAGACACACACAGACACACACACACACACACAAACGCGCTCACACACACACACACACACAAACGCGCTCACACACACACACACACACACACACACACACACACACACACACACACACACACACACACACACACACACACACACGCGCGCGCGCGCGCTCACACGCACGCTTGAGAAGATGTGGCAATGCCGCGAGGCTGTCCTGCGTCCGTCAATACAATATGTGCACACCTGTCAATCACACATACATACATGCGCACGCACACATGGTGATATTGTTTAGCGAAGGATTCCAAGCTCACAGTTCACAGTGTACACAGGAAACTCAATCAATCAATCAAGCAAGGTATATGCACCGCTCATCACCGTACTTGGTCGGTCTTCCGTTATCGTTCAAGCTGGAGCTGGAGCCCTGGGCTGATGTTGTAGAGAGGGCGATGGCTGGTGGTCGACTTGACACCCGATGTGCCGGGGCTCTCTGCAAACAAGGACGTTGGTGTGTTGGTGGGTTGGTGGGTTGGTGAGCTGGTGAGTTGGTTGAGGTTGTAAAGGTTGTCGCGTGCACAGCACATGCGTGTGCGGCGACTCAACCAAGCAGTTGTCGCACACCCGACATCACAACCAAGAGGCAGAAGGTTGGAACACAGACCCAGAGGCGCCACAGACAGACATATAGACACACACACACACACACACACACACAGGCACACAGGCACACCCACCCACACAGGCACAAAGGCATACCCACCCACGCACACACAGGCACACACACCCACACACACACACACACACACACACACACACACACACACACACACACACACACACACACACACACACACACACACACACACACACACACACACACACAGGCACACCCACACCCACCCACCCACACACCCACACACCCACACACACACACACACACACACACACACACACACACACACACACACACACACACACACACACACACACACACACACACACACACACACACACACACACACACACACACACGCGCGCGCGTACTGCGGGGACAGATGACTCCAAATCCATGAGCAGTGTATCCACGTCCGAGTCGTCATGCGGGTTTGACGGCTTTGCGCGATGTGATGGCGCTGTTCGCGTGGACGAGCGTGGCGAAGCTTGTGCGTCTTGCTGTGATCGACCACTGCCCCGGTTACCGTCCCCATTGACAAGCTTGCGCAGGCGATTTGGTTCCTGACTTGCTCGTGGTTCCTGTGGTACTGCTACAGATGTCCCTGCTGCTGTGGTTCGTTGTCTCGTTGCTTCCCTGCTCGCACCGTCCTTATTGCTGCTCCGCACTGTATCTCCACTACCCTTTGCTCCCTTCCCGCCGACCTTTGCGGGCCCCTCGCTGCCCAGCAGCTGCTCCACATCATCCAGCAGCTCATCCAAGTCCATCCTGGTTCGTCGCCGATGTCTTGCTCACTTTGTGGTTGTTTGTTTGCTCGCTGTTTGTTGCTGACGGTTTTTTTTTTTTTGGGGGGGGGGGGGGGGTGCGTTTGGTTGGCGTTTGGTTGGGGCCAGATGTGTTTTGTGTGTGCATCTGTGCGAGTGTGTGTGTGTGTGTTGTGTTGTGTGTTGTGTGCGTGCATGTGCGCGAGGGTGTGTGTGTGTGTGTACGTGCTTGCTGCTTGCGGTGACGACATGACACTGTTCTGGTGTTGATGATTACAGTGGTGCGTGTTCTCTTTGTTTTAGAGGCACACCAACCAACCGCACTCAACACACAGTTAGCCCACAAGCGTCGCAAAGACTATGTGGTGACGGATCGCACCCAAAACGTGCGCTTGCATATGCCGTCGGTGACGGCGAGCCCGCCCACATCATCCAGCGCAGCTTCCATGGATTCCGATATCCCACACCCAGCACCCTTCTCCCCACCAACCATGTCTTGGCCACCTCCTCCACCCACACTGCCATTGCGCACATCACCGCTTCGCACATCACTGCTTCGCACATCATCATCATCATCATCACCACGGCCACAATCACCTTGAATGCCACCCTTGCCTGCCCCACGTGCTCCATCTCTGTCGCCACCGTCGTCACTTGCTCCGCTCGCTTCTTCCCGCAAGTCCCCTCCGTCACCCTTGTCATCCCCATCAGTCCCACTCTCACCGCCACCATCACCACCATTGATATGCGGCTGTGCAGACGCTGCGGTGCCGGCGCCGGCCCTCCGCTTCAGCTCCGCCAGGGCCAGCTCGCGTGTCTGAAACTCCGCCAGCTTGCCAAGGGCGCGGGAGTATGCTGGGAGCTCCTCACGCCCAAACAGCAGGTGCCGATGCTCGACTGAAGCACACATCCTCTTCTCCACGCGGATCACCAGCTTGCGCACCCACACTTGCAGGCTGCGGCCGTCGCTGGCCTGGCCGCATAGCGACGTGCACCCGTTCTTGCTGGGCTGTGGCACCGGCGAACGCACCCACGACGCATGGGCCGGCTCATATGAGGACAGCGCCATGTTGGCTGTCACCATGGACCGATACATGCCAATCGTGTCGACGGCAAATGTTCCGCAAGGGGAGCGCTCGCAGAACATGGCCAGAAACACGACAGCGCCGGGGCCCAGGTCTGCCTCGAGCCCCTGCACGGAGTTGACAGCGATGCGCTTGACACGGATGTGCATGTTGGTGGTGTGGCTCTGCACAACCACGTCCAGCAGGCGCTCGTCTCCGTGCGTTTTCTCGCTGTGGTCGTAGATGACGCGATGCGAGGCAAGCCACTTGCGCACCCGCGACCGCACCATGGCATTTGCGCTCTCCGCGCTCAGAAACACACCAATGGCGTCCCCGTCATACACGATGGGTGGCGCACTCGGCGGCTGCCGCGTTGCTGCTGTTGGGGTCTGTGGCCGCGACCACGCCGCTGTTGGCGTTGGTGCTGGTGCAGGTGCTGGTGCAGGTGCTGGTGCAGGTGCAGGCGTCGTTGATGTTGACGTTGATGTTGACGTTGATGTTGACGTTGTGGTCACAGGCGTGCCTGTAGCTGTTGTTACTGATGGGTATGTGTTTGTGGACGGTGTTGGCGATGGCTGTGTCGTCGCGAGTGTGCTCGTAACCCGCAGTTGATTGGAGGTAGTAACATGGCCCATTGAAGCAGGTGGAAACACGGGCTGCAGTGCGTGTCTTCGAGGCGCCTGAGGGTTTGGCGGAGCCATAAACACGGAAGTCAGTGCCGTCTTCTCTTTCAACGTCAGCATCCTCTTGGGCGGGCCTTGCTGCCGCTGCTGTTGTTGTGCGTGAAATTGGGCTGGTGGAGTTGACGTATGCAACGACGAAAATGAGGATGGAAATGGAGAGGACGACGGCATGGACGCAGAGGACGTGAGGGTTGGTGCTTGCTGAGCAGCTGTTCCTGCTGCAGTTGTTCGTCCTGCTGTGGACGCTGCTGTTGATGTCGCTGTTGATCTTGTTGTGGATGTTGCTGTGGGCACTGCCGTTGATGTTGTTGTGGTTTGTGTTGCGTATCTTGGTGTAGATGCTGTTGTGGATGCTGTTGTGGTTGTTGCTCTTGCCGAATGGCCTTGTCGAACAGGAAGCAGCACTTGTTGTTGTTGTTGTTGTTGTTGTTGTTGTTGTTGTTGTTGTTGTTGTTGTTGTTGTTGTTGTTGTTGTTGTTGTTGTTGTTGTTGTTGTTGTTGTTGTTGTTGTTGTTGTTGGAGGAGGAACGCTGACATGCTGCTGGTGCTGGTGCTGGTGCCTGGGCGGGCCGCCTTGGTTGTTGGCGATGCCTTTGGTGAAGGCAGCTTGATCTGGGACAGCAAGACGACGTACAATTCCCCAGCATGTGTTGCGGGGCGTGCAGGTCGCATCATACGTGGCCGCTTCGCCTGCAGCATTTCCTGCGACGACGGCGAAGATCCTGGTCGCCCCATGGCCAAACTGTCCACGTGATGGTGTAGCAGCAAGACGAGGCAACCCGACAGAGACGAACAAAGGGGCGAACAGTGAGGTGAACAGTGTGATGTTGTGTGACAGATGTGAGGGCGATGCTGCTGTTTCACATCAGAGCCACACCCAGCCAGCCAGCAGACGCAGCCAGCGGACAGAGTATCGAACGACAGCATGAAAAGTAGTACCATGACTCATCGTCGCTTGTTTCGTTGTTGGCGTTTTCGCTTGTGTTGCTTGTTGGTGGTGTGGCCGGCGAACACTCCTCTCTCCACCACTCACGTCACACGCTCCACCACCCACACACACGCTCACGCCCGCACAGACCAGGTCTCTTCTCTGCTGTCTTGTCTCGCCTTTCTCTGTCTTCCCTCCTCTGTCTCTTTGTCGCTTTGCTGGTCGCAATGCCACGACAAACGTCGGCGGAGGCTCTGCGACAGCTGAGTGTTCAAGTTCGCAGCGCAGAGCTGCGGCCACGAGCAGGGGCAAGCGCTCCAGGTGCGGCACCTGCTTGTCCACAAGCCTGATGGGCGTGGTGTGCGAGTGCGAGTGTGAGTGTGTGAGTGTGAGTGCGAGTGTGGGTGTGAGTGTGAGTGTGAGTGTGTGTATGTGAGTGTGTGTGTGTCTTGTGCTGCCTTCGTTTCCTCCTCTCTCTTCTTGATTCCTGGGTCCCCCACCTAGTTTTGTTGCCATCCTCTTCTTCTTGGCATCCATCCATTGTGTGTTTCTTGCTTCTTGTTGCGTTGTGCATGTGCCTTGACACGCGCCACCGTTGCATGTCGGCTTGCGTGCAGACGTGTATGTTGAAGTCGGCCTGGACAACGCAAGCGCACGGACCAAGACAAGTGTCGTGCGCCGATCATGGAACCCAAGCTTCCCTGGCATCCCCAAGAACAAAATCGGCCTGTAAGTGTCCGGTCACGTGTTGGAAGAGAGGGGACGGGGGGGACGAAAGGCAAGGGAGACCGTGTGTGTGTGTGCGCGTGTGCGTGTGTGTGCGTGTGTGTGTATGTGCGTGTGCGTGTGTGTGTGTGTGTTACGTGTACGTTTGTGTCTATGAGATTCCCATGCGCGGATCAAGGCACAGACAGACCGAGGCGGACATGCGCACGCATCCTCTCACTCGTGCGCAACCACTTGTGATGTTCCTGCTCCCCACACCTGCATCTGCTCCCGCATTGCCACCATGCTATTCTTCCCGTGTCTTGTTTTTGTCACTCTACAGCGTGGTGGACGAGTCGAGCGTGCTGGTCATTGTGGTTAAGAGCAAGCTCAGCTTCAGATCAGACCACACCCTCGGCACATGCAAGCTCGCCGTGACGGACATTCCGCCAGGCGCCGCTGCCGGCCACCAGATGGACATGAGGCAGACCCTCAAACTCAACGACGTACGTTCAATCACAACCTGGTGACCACGACCAACACAGACATGCGTGCCTCGGGGTGATTTTGGATGTGGGGGTGGTATTGGGTGGAGCAGCACAATGCACCCCTCCTCACATGTACCCCACATGCTTTTACAATTGTTGCAGGAGGAAGTTGGCAAGATCACTCTCTCCGTGGGCCTCGCTGGCCAATCATTTTCCCGCACATCAACACTCCCACCACAGGGTGAGTGTGTGAGTGTGTGAGTGAATGTGTGAGTGTGTGTGTGTGAGTGTGTGTGTGTGTGTGTGTGTGTGTGTGTGTGTGAGTGTGTGTGTGTGTGTGAGTGAGTGAGTGTGTGAGTGAGTGAGTGTGGTTGAGTCAAACAGCTGGTCATCAAGCCGCTTCCACGACACTCACGATCAAGTACACACGACCAACACCAACACCCCCGCCCCCCTCTTTTTGATGATGGCAGCAGCGGCACCACCGCAAGCCGCTGTGCAGGCGCCTCCTCTTCCCCCGGGATGGGAGGCAAGGACAGATGGCCAGGGCCGCACATACTACGTCGACCACAACACACGGTCAGTTTGTGTGTGTGAATGTGTGTGTGTGTGTACGTGCGTGTGTCTCGTGTGTTTACACGCCCATGCTTGTATGTGAGTGTTTGGTTTTGACTTATTCCAATACCTTCAACCCTCACCCCGTGCCCAATATCTTCTGCAACACACACACACACACACACACACACACACACACACACACACAGGCGAACACAATGGGTACCGCCGCCAATGCCCCAGCAAGCAGCAGCACCACAGCAGCCACAGCACTCGCAGATGCCGCCACGGAGCGGCTCGCAGTCGTACCCGCAGCCCGTGCAGCCGACCACCGTATCCGTGCAGCCGCAGACGCCAACAGCGACGCGCGCACGCCTCTCCTCCAGCGCCGTCACGTCCGATCAGTTTGGCCAACTCCCACCGGTGCGGCATGCATGTGTGTGTGTGTGTATGCATGTGTGCATGTGTGTGTATGTGTGTGTATGTATGTGTGTGTGTGCATGCGTATATGTGTTGTGATGGTGGTGATGGTGTGTCTGCACAAGTGGTGCGCGTACGCGCGCTTGCCTGCCTTCCAACATCAAATGCGTGCACGTGCCCTCACCGTGAACCCCTGCACCATCACAACACCACTACCAACACATCACATCACGCCATGACTGCAGGGGTGGGAGGTGCGGCGTGACCAGCGGAACCGCGTGTACTACGTCGACCACAACACCCGCTCAACAACCTGGCAGCGGCCCTCCACAGACATGCTCCAGGCCAGGGACCTCTACATGCGCCAGCGGTACGTGTGTATGTGTGTGTGTGGCATGTGTGTGTGTGGCATGTGTGTGTATCTTGTGATCTTGTCGGTGCAGTACTTTTCGGTCACTATGAGAACAGCGAGTGAATTTGCGTCACCCACTCATGTTTGGACCAAATTGTCCATCCCCCTCCCCCTCCTCCTCCCCCTCCTCAGGCAACATCTCTCGCAGGCGCAGGCGCAGCACGGCCAGCGCTCTCTCTTTGGTGACTCATCATCCTCCTCCTCATCGTCAGCACAGCAGCCGCCACAGCAGGAACAACAGCCGCCGCCGCAAGAGTCTGGCGAAGGACCACAGCAGGATGTTTCTTCCTCAACGGATGGCGGAGACGCGTCGACAGCGGCGGAGCAGCAGCCGGACGACGGCCTGGGGCCGCTTCCGAAGGGTTGGTCGTGTATGCAGGGAGGTGGTGGTGGTGGTTGTGAGTGCAGGGTGGTGGTGGTGGTTGTGTATGCAGGGTGGTGATGATGATGGTGATGGTTATGTGGTTGCGGTCTGTCATGGTTGTCAGCCTGCGTGGTGGTGTGTCTGTGAGGTGGTGCGTTTGGTCTGTGCATGTGCGTGAAGGCGCACACTTGCACCTGCACACATGCGAGCATCGTGCATGTGCCCTTCTGTGACACTGCGCCTGTGGGTGAATGGTGGTGATGTTACACAGGTTGGGAGAAGCGAACAACACCGACGGGCAGGCCGTATTTCGTGTACCACCCAGCCAGACACACGCAGTGGGAGGACCCAAGACAGGTATGCAGCAGCGCCACTGTGTGCGTGCGTGTGTGTGTGTGTGTGTGTGCGTGTGCGTGTGTCTGTATGTGTGTGTGTGTCTGCATGTGTGTGTGTGTGTGTGGATATGGGAGTGCCTGTGATAGGTGTTGGGTATGCGTGACCCCGTTCTCCGTATCTCACCATCCCCACCATTTCCATCACCACCACGCCCACCAGGGCCGGAGCCTGGTTGCGCGCGCGCAGGAGCTGCCGCTGCCAGCCGGATGGGAGATCCGCGTGGACCAGTTTGGGCGCCAGTACTTTGTGGACCACAACACCCGCTCAACCACGTTCACAGACCCACGCATCAAGCTGCTGCAGGAACAAAACGCCGACATTCCGCAGTACCAGCGCCAGTTCAAGAACAAAGTCTCTGTGCTGCGCTACTCGTACTGCCCAAAGATTGCCGGGAGATTCACCATGACCGTTCGCAGGGACAACTTGTTCGAGGTGCGGCTGCAGCTGCTCGTTTGTGTGTGTGTGTGTGTGTGTGTGTGTGTGTGTGTGTGTGTGTGTGTGTGTGTGTGTGTGTGTGTGTGTGTGTGTGTGTGTGTGTGTGTGTGTGTGTGTGTGTGCGTGCTTGTGTATGCGCCCGCGAACATTATGTATGCATGTGTATATGTACATGTGTGTGTGTGTGTGCCTTGCGAGTCTTTGTGCGTGTGGGGCCTCATCGCCACCTTTCCCTCCCACCAACAACAAACATCCCAAACACCATCCTCCTACACCACCCAGGACTCCTTCCGTGGAATCATGAGCATCAAGCCTGATTCATCCGGCTTTTGCAACGAACTCAAGGTCTGCAGTGCATGTGCGGTTGCTTGTGTATGTTTGTGTATGCTTTTGTATGCTTTTGTATTTATATGCTTGGTAGTTCCAGGCGCCCACGTGCTTACCCCCCCCCCCGTTGCCTTCTGTCCTTGCTTTGTTGGTGGCATTGCACGTCCTTGTTGTTGGATCTTCTAGCGCCGTCTGTATCTCTCGTTCGAAGGCGAGGACGGTCTCGACTACGGCGGCGTCGCAAGGTCTGCACATGTTCTCTCTCACTCTCACACACACACACACATACACACACATGTTCACAGTCGCACTTGTCTTCATGAGCATGGGTGCTCTTCGTGCACGTACGTACGCCTGTCACGTACTCACACCACCACCCCACACCACCCCACCACTGCCGCATGGTCGCCAGGGAGTGGTTCTTCCTCATCTCGCACGAGATGCTGAACCCGATGTACTGCTTGTTCCAGTACGCAGCGAGCAACAACTACCAGCTTGAGATCAACCCCAACTCCGGCGTCAACCCAGAGCACCTCCACTACTTCCAGTTTGTTGGCCGCGTCGTGGGCATGGTGCGTGCAGCATAGGGCATGTGGTGGTGGTAGTATGTTGAGAGACAGAGGGAGTGTGTGAGTGTGTGAGTGTGAGTGTGTGAGTGTGAGTATGTGTGTGAGTATGTGAGAGAGTGTGAGAGAGTGTGAGAGCGGGTGAGTATGTTAGTGTGAGTATGAGTGTGAGTATATGTGTGCCTGTGTGCTTGTGTGTCGTGCATGCCTTTTGAACTGTGGTGTATGTGCCCAATGCTAACTCACCTTTCCTGTTCATGACTCTGCACGAATCGACAGGCCATCTACCACGAGAAGTTTATTGACAACGGCTTCACGCTCCCCTTCTACAAGCGCATCCTTGGCCGCGAGCTCACGCTCAAGGACCTGGAGACGGTCGACCCAGAGTACTACAAGAACCTCATCTGGATCCTGTACGTCATCGCTCTGGCGTGTTGTTTGTTTGTTTGTCTGTCTGTCTGTCTGTTTGTTTGCTTGTTTGTTTGTTTGTTTGTTTGTTTGCTTGTTTGTTTGTTTGTTTGTTTGTGCGTCTCTGTGTGCGCGTCTCTCTCTCTGTGTGTGTCTGTGCGTGCGTGTGTGCGCGCGCTGATTGCCACAAATTATTTCTCCAAGTCACTGCCCATCATTCACATGCACATGACCAATTTACCCCCCTCCCCCCACACGCACCCCGCTTTCCAACTCGCCCAGGGACAATGACATTGACGAGTTGTATCTGGGCATGACGTTCTCCGTGGACGAGCACGAGTTTGGACAGATCAAAGAGCATGAACTCAAGCCCGGCGGTGCAGACATTGATGTGACAGACGCGAACAAGAAGGAATACGTCGAGTACGTTCCATACACGTTCACGCACACATACTTGTGGTCGTGCTGCCGCAATGCTCACAGCGCGTGCGCGCGTGTATATGTCCACGCTTGGTACATGTAGTGTGTATACCAAAGCACGTGTTGTGTGTTGTTGGATCATATCAGGTTCACCGCCTCACCTCACCACACCACACCACACCACACCACACCACACCACACCACACCACACCACACCACACCACACCAC